TTTAGTAGCTTGTTGTTTAGCCTCTACATGTTTGTGTTTTTTCCTTTTTTTGTTGTTGTTGTAATTGATTTCTAGTTTCATACCACTGTGCTTAGAAAAGATGCTTGATATTATTTAAATTTTCCTAAATCTATTGGGACTTATTTTGTGGCCTAATGTGATCTATCTATCCTGGAGAATGTTCCATGTGTACTTGAAAAGAATATATATTCTGTTGTTTTTGGATGGAATGTTCCCTGTGTATTGTTAGGTCCATTTAGTCTAATGTGTCATTCAAAGACACTGTTTTTTTGTTGACTTTCTGCCTCAATGATCTATCCATTGATGTAAGTGGAGTGCTAAAGTCTCCTACTATTATTGTATTATTGTCAGTTTCTCTTTTTATGTCTGTTAATATTTGCTCTTTATATTTAGGTGCTGCAATGTTGGGTGCATAGATATTTACATCTGTTCTATCCTCTTGTTCAGTTGATCCCTTTATCATTATATAATGCCCTTCATCTCTTGTTATGGTTTGTTGTTGTTTTTAAGTAGGCTCCATGCTCAATGTAGGGTTTAAACTCACAACCCTGAGAGTCACATGCTCAAAGGACTGAGCCAGCCAGATGGCCCAACAGTTTATTTTTTTTATTTTCATTTTTTTAAAGATTTTATTTATTTGAGAGAGAGAGTGCACGAGAAGGGGGAGGGGCAGAGGGAGAGAGAGAAGCACACTGCCCACTGAGCAGGAAGCCTGACCCAGGGCTCAATCCCAGGACTCTGAGATCATGACCCGAGCCGAAGGCAGACACCCAACCGACTGAGCCACCCAGGCACCCCCAGTTTTTGTTTTAAAGTCTATTTTGTCTAATTATTGCTACACAGCTTTTTTTTTTTTTTTTGACTTCGATTCACAGATAGTATCTTTTTCCATCATTTCACTTTCAGTCTGTATGTGTCTTTAGGTCTGAAGTGAGTCTCTTGTAGGCAGCATATAGATGGGTCTTCTTTTTTGTTTTGTTTTGGTTTTTTTTATCCATTCCATCACCCTATGCTGTGATTGATTAGAGCATTTGGGACCATTTACATTTAAAATATTTACTGATATGTTCTTATTGCCATTTTGCTAATTGTTTTCTGGTTGTTTTTGTAGTTCTTGTCTGTTCCTTTCTTCCTCTCTTGGTCTCTTCCCTTGTGACTGGTGACTTTTAAAAGTTTTCTGTTTTGCTAGGCTGCCCCTACCCAAACCCTCAGCTAAATAGAATAGACTTTTATTGGGGGTATTTTTCAAAAATTTATGTCTGTGCTCACAGGCATTTTCAGTTTGTTAACTTTTTCAGCTCCAACTCTGGGATGTATTAGAGAAAAAGAAAACCCAGGGAACTCACTACCATGTTGTTCTTTTAGCTTAGCCAGTCTGCTTCCTTCTCTTTACCTATCAGAGCCTTCCAATGTTTGTTTTATAAATAATGCCCAGGTTTTTAGTTGTATTCAGCAAGAGGAATAGGGAAAGGTGCATCTATTTCATCTTTCTGGAAGTAGAAGTCACTGGAAGTAACAACATTATTAATCTATGTAGGCACCTATAAGCTACACTGCAGAACTCTCTGGGAAAAGCTGGATTGGGGAATGGGTCTTGGAGCTGAAGTGGAGGCTCCCTGACTCCAAATGTGGGCCTTGGAACCCACACATTCAGGCATGTGTGCAGAGCATATAAATTTAACAACTTAGATGAAATGGACCAATTTGTCAAGATTCATAAACTACCAAAACTCACTGAAGGTGAAATAGAGTATTCTACAACTATTAAAGAAGTTGAATTCATAGTTTAAAAGCTCCTGAAGTAAGAAATGACCGGGCCCAGATGGTATCACTGGTAAATGTTACTAAATAATTAAAGAAGAAATAACACCAATTCTATGCAATCTCTTCCACAAAGTAGAAATAGAGGAAATGCTTGCCAACTCATTTTATGAGGCCAGAATTGCCCTAATCCAAAACCAGATAAGAACAAACTAGACCAATATAGATGCAAAAACCTATTAGGAAATAAAATCCAGCAATATATAAAAAGAATATTATACCACAACCAAGTAAGATTTATCCCAGGAATGCAAGGCTCATTCATATTCAAAAATCAATTACTAAGAAAAGTAATTATTGTAATCTGCCATATTAGCCTGAAAAAGAAAAAGTACATGATCATGTCAGTTGATCCAGAAAAGCACTTGACAAAATTCAGTATGTATTCCTAATGAAAACTCTCAGCAAACTAGGAATGGAAAGGAATTTATTCAACCCAATGCGGAGCATCTAAAAAATTCTACAGCTAACATGCTTATGATGAAAAACTAAATGCTTTTCCCCCAAGATTAGGGACAAAGCAAGGATGTTTACTCTAACCACTCCTATTTATCATCATAGAGGAAGTCCTAGCCAATGCAGTGAGTCAAGAAAAAGAAAGTACATATAGTTGGGGGGAAAAAAGAGGTAAAACTGTCCATATTCACAGACAACATGATTGTTAGAAAATCCTTAGGAATCTACCAAACAAAACAACCTTCCCAGAAATAATAGAGCTTAGCAAAGTCATGGGATACAAGATCAACACACAAAATCAATTTTTTGTCTATATACAAGCAATGAACAATTGGAAACTGAAATTTTAAAAATGCTATTTATAATACACTTTTAAAAAGGCACAAATCTAACAAAACATGTAGTATCCAAATGCTAAAAATTTTAGAATTTATAAATCAAAGGAAACCTAAATAAATATAAATACTGTGTTTGTGGACTGTTAGACTAATAGTAAAGATGTCAGCTGTCCTCAAATTCTTCTACAAATTTAATGTAATACCAGTCTGAATCCTGGCAGGACATTTTTGTGGATATAGGCAACCTGTCCTAAAAATTATGTGGAATGCAAAGAAACTAAAATAACAAAAACAATTTGAAGAAGAAGAAAGTTGGAGGCAGATCACTACCTAATCTGAAGACTGTGTGGTTTTTTGTTTTTGTTTTTTTTTAAAGATTTTATTTATTTATTTGAGAGAGAGAGAATGAGAGAGAGCACATGAGAAGGGGGAGGGTCAGAGGGAGAAGCAGACTCCCTGCTGAGCAGGGAGCCCAATGCGGGACTCAATCCCGGGACTCCAGGATCATGACCTGAGCCGAAGGCAGTCGCTTAACCAACTGAGCCACCCAGGCGCCCTGAAGACTGTGTGGTATTAGCAAAAGGAGAGACACATAGGTCTTTGGAACAGAACAGAGTCCAGAAATAGACTCATAAAAATATGAGTCAAACAATTTTTTATATAGGTACAAAGCCAGTTCAATGGGGAAAGATTAATCTTTATAGTAAATGGTGTTGGAATAGTTGGACATTCATAGGCAAAAAAAAAAAAAAAATGAACCTTGTCCTAAACCTCACACCTCACACAAAATTTAACTCCAAATAAATCATAGATCTAAATGTAAAAGGTAAAGCTATAAAACTTTTGGGAAAAAAAAAATAGGGATAAATCTTTGTGACACTATTAGGCAAAATGTTCTTAAGACATGCACCAAAAGCATAACCCATAAGAGAAAAAGTTGACAAATTGGATATCATTAGATTTAATCACATTTGTTCTTTGAAAGTCACTATCAAGAGAATGAAAATGTTACAGACTGGGAGAAGATATTTGCAAATTGCCCGTGTGACAATTGACTTGTATCCTTAATAAAGAGCTCTCTAAACAGCAGTAAGAAAACAATCCAATTTAAAAAGTGGGGAAATGACGTGAACAGACATGTCACCAAAGAGAATATATAGATGGCAAATAAACCCATCAAGAGGTGATCAACATCATTAGTCATAGGGAAATGCAAATTTAAACTACCATGAAATAGCTCTGCATACTGTTAAAATGACTAATACATAAAAAAAAAAAAAATACAGTACCAAGTGCCAATGGTTTGGAGAGCAGTTGAAACTATAACACAATACTGATGGGAATGCAAAATGGTACAGTTGGTCTGGAAAACTCACAGTTTCTTATAAGCATTTACCAGATGATCTAGTAATTCCGTTCCCCACAGCTGCTTTAAAAAATGAAAAGTATAGTCATACAAAAACTTGTATGCACATGATTACAGAAGCTCTGTTAATAATCACCAAAAACTAAAAACCACCCAGATATCCTTCAGCAGGTGAATGGATAAACAAACTGGTACATCCTTACAATGGAATATTACTCATTGATAAAAATGGACAGTTGGTACACAGAACAGCTTGGTCAGTGATACTCAAATGCATTATGCTGAAAGAAGCCAGTCTCTAAATACATACTACATGATTCCATTTATATGACATTCTGGAAAAGGCAAAAACTATAGTGATTGATAACCCATCAGTGGTTGTGAGAGTTGAGGGGTTGGGGAGGGTGTGACTAAAAAGGGGCAGCAGCTCTAAGGGGAGATGGAACTGTTCTGTATCTTGATTGTGGTTACAGCAATCTATACATGTGGCACAATTCAAAGAACTGTTCACCAAAGGTAAAGGTCATTGTTGCTAAATAATAACACAACAAAGGACTGCTGCACCTTCCCCACACTGACATTGTCCTGGGGGTCATCTCAATTGTCTATAAGCAAGTTCACCATCAGACATTTATCCAAGTTTCAATGAGACTGTGAGATTAGCATTTAGGAGGGCCAGTGAGGAATGTTAGAGCAATAAGATGGCTGCTCAGTTCAGCCATCTTGACTGTCAGACATCAAGATATCCAAAATAAATTATTTTTCTGAGCAAATAAAATGTCTTTCTAAAGTCTGGCAGTGTTAACTTTAGCATTGCACAAGTACGTGGTTGGCTGGTATATATCAAATGAATTAACTCTTCCATTAAAAAACAGAGTAAGGCTTAGGAACAGTCCTTGGCCTAGAGTGTTTCACCAAGCTACAAGGTCGTGTTAGGTGATGTGGACTCATGCCAGCTTAGCCACTCCTCCTTTTTGCTGCTCTTTGCTCCCCTGTAGGAGGTTGTGGCTCACTGGATTGCTGAAAGCCGCATTGCCATCGAGAAGATACGTTTGTTGATCCTGAAAGCCGCGCACAGCATTGACACCCTGGGCTGGGCTGGCACTAGGAAGGAGGTGAGGCCCCTTGGACCACTGTCTGCCAAGCCTTCTTCAGTTTCTTTCACCCACTGGGCATTTCAGGTTTCGTGGTGCCTTGATGGCACTCAGAATATTGAAAACAATTTCTGTGATTTTGGTTTCAAGATTATAAATACATGCCACTTGCTAGTTTTCCTTTCACTTGCCTGCTTTAGGGAATGATTTTCAGGATATAGAATATCTTCAGCATTCTCGAGATGCAGCAACAGGGAGGAGGGAAATCCAAGACTATACAGACTTGGAATTATACCCACTATGTCACTTTCTGCCATGTGGCCCTGGGCAAAGTATCTGACCTTGCTACCATGTAGTATAAATGCTTCGTAAAAGATGCCTCTCATCTCCTATCTTTTTATGTTTCTGGCTTATATGGAGTAAGATTGTAATCATTTAATTCTAAAAACCAATAAAAATTGCTAAGAGAAAACTGATTAATGAAGGCTCTTGAATTCTTTTTATGATCCCTAAGGTGATGAATGTGATTTATCAGCCGCCTTAAATCCTTTTGGAAACAAGGCAAGTCATAAATAATAAAATATGATTTGGAAGAGATATCTCTTTCCAGAATGTCTATATTGACTGAAATATGGCCATTATTAGCCTCATTACAACGGGTCTCTTTGTTGGCTTGCATCAAAGATCCTGTTTGAGTGATGAATTCATGTGGGAAAGTTCCCTGGTCTCATTTCACAAAGAAAATACAGATTATATCAAATTCTGCCACATTGTGTATTGTCTAAGAAAGGAACATTCTTTTTATATCTTGCTAATGTAGATTGCAATGATTAAAGTGGCCACCCCTCGGGCCGTCTGCAAAATTATTGACCGGGCGATCCAAGTGTGTGGAGGTGCAGGTGTTTCCCAGGATTACCCTCTGGCTAACATGTAAGTAGATGTCACTTAGTAATCATCTACATTTGACAGGCTTGGAATGGAATTAAAAATCTACAGCTGCCTTGACCCTAATTGTTTCACAAGGAAAGAAAGATACTAAAAGTACAATTCAAGGCTAAATGAGGTAATATAGGTACCCAGCACCAATAAATAGCTGCTCTTATGATTACAGTTATCATTTCGCTCAATGATGTCAACTTTTACACCGAGGGGGTCCATTGGGGTTCATGAGCTAGTGCGGAAATGGCACTGGGGGTTCACCCTGAAACCAGAATGATCATGCAGGAGCACAGATGGCAGAGGGCACCCAGAGCCAGGCTTGGGTATGTCCTTAGGACTGTTCGCCACCTCCACAGGGATGCCGCAGGCCAGTGACCATCTCCTGTCCAGATTCTGGTTGCTGGGAGTCAAGGAACACTCTGCAGTGCCCGTCACCGCACAGTACCCCTGCCACCTTCTCTCCCACACTGGAAACAGGAGTCTGGTGCCCCACCAGTTTTCCCATCAATTTTTAACCATAAGAACTAAATATCTAGTACTAAATATGTATAATATATAAGTATTACATATTTATACTTCACTCCCTGTGGCTTACCCAAGATCTCTCTTAGTTCTAGCAACTTCTAGAACCCTAAAGCAAACCAAGACTGAGATTAAGCCCATTGCACTGAGCCATTTAAGGTTCCTCTCCCCAAAGTGAGAACTTTTGGTGGCATTTCACGTGCCCTTGGACTTACTTTCCTTGATTCTCTTTGTGCTCTTATCACTGCCTTGGCAAGATTTCAAAAATGAATAGCTTTGGCTTAGAGTCAGAGTGACTGACGTTAAAGTATGTTCCTCGTTGATAACTCCTGCCATTCCTGCTCCTTTTGTTTTTCCAGGTATGCCCTAACGCGAACTCTGCGCTTAGCAGATGGGCCCGATGAAGTGCACCTCTCCGCAATCGCAGCAATGGAGCTGCGGGACCAAGCCGGAGGCGTGAGGTCCAAGGTGTAGGAGGCACCTTTACACACACTTCACGGGCTCTAGCATTTGCACCAGTTTGAGCACAGGATTAATTACTCATTTTCAGTAAACATTTGAGCATCCATTTTGATCACTGGGTTTTATAATTTCAAGGGTCACAAAGGTTTAAGTTAAATACAAAATTCTATAGCTGCCGTCATTCAGTCTATTACCTATGTGTTTAGCCTTTATTTTTAAAACATTCAACCTGTAAAGAAATAATGAAGTAAACTGGAGAGCTAAAGCATAGGCATAAAAATATTTTCACTTTTTGATTCCCAGGATCTGTTCCATTTAAATAAATATTCAAGGAGTTATTGCTCTGTAAAAAATATAGCGGGATGTCCTTTCTAACACTGGCTGTAGGGGGTGGCTTAACACTTTGTAGTACCACAGTGTTTGCACTGGAGAAAGGTGCATGACTGACTGAATCATTTTAGAATTCATATAAACCTCTTCATAATTCAACAGAAAGCATTTATACATAAAGTCTGAATGCAGTTTAAAGTTTACTAGAAAACATGGCATATTATGAGAAAACATAATTAGGAAGGTTTTTAATTATGTATAATATGTTGATGAAAACAGTGGATAGTTTAAGCTACAAGAAAGTTATTTAGTTTTGAGAAGAGATTACAATCCATCTGTTCTGAATGCCATCCCGTTAGTATCAACACCCTAAGCAAACATCCTGTGGCTCTTTAAATCAGTGCTGCCCAATATAATGGCCACTGGCCACATGTGACTCTTGAGCACTTTAACTGTACCTAGTGTAACTGAGGAACTTTTGATTGTTTAAAATTTTAATATCGATTCTTAACTCAGTTACTAGAAAACTTTTAAGTATGCTCGCAATAACTTGGGTATGTGAATTGACTTTTTCAAATGTAAATTTTATGAAATCTAAATATGGAGCAAGTATTTTGGCTGGAAATTTAGCATCCAAATTAAGAAACAAAGTAAGTGTGAAATACATAACAAATTTTGAAGACTTAGTGTGAGAAAAAGGTAAAATATCTCATTAATACTTTTTAAGTAGTGATTATATATGGAAATGATAAAATGTGGATGTAAGGCATACCTTGTTTTATTGTGCTTCACTTTTTGCACTTCTTACAAATCAAAGGTTTATGGCAACTCTGCATCAAGCAACTCAGCACCATTTTTCCAACAGCATTTGCTCACTTCATATCTCTGTGTCACATTTTGGTAATCCTTGCACTATTTCAAACTTGTTCATTATTATTATTTTGAATTGCTGCAATCTCATGATAAAACTTGAACGGATGAGGAGTCACTTCTTATGGATGAGCACAGAAAGTCGTTTCTTGAGGTAGAATCAACTCCTGGGGAAGATGCTATAAAGATTGTTGAAATGACAGAGATTTAGAATATGATATAAACTTAGTTGATAAAGCAGTGGCAGGATTTCAGAGGTTTGACTCCAATTTTGAAAGAAGTTCTGCTGTGGGTAAAATGCTATCAAATAGCATCACAGAGAAATAGTTCATGAGGAAGAGTCCATTTGTGCAGGAAACTTCCTTGTCTTATTTTTAAAAATTGCCCCAGCCAGGCCAGCCTTCGGCAACCACCACCCTGGTCAGTGAGCAGCCATCAACACCGAGGCAAGACTCTCCACCAGCAAGAAGACTGTGACTCACTGAAAGTTCAGGTGATGGTTAGCATATTTTTTTTTAGCAAAAAATATTTTTTTTAAGATTTTAGTTTTAGGGGCGCCTGGGTGGCTCAGTTGGTTAAGTGTCTGCCTTCAGCTCAGGACATGATCTCAGCGTCCTGGGACAGAACCTGGGTTCTGATTCCTGCGTGTCACATGGGCCTCCTAAACTCCTAAATTTGCCTTTGATCCTTAACCTCTCTGCATCTCATTTTTCTTTCTGTACCCTGGGATTAACTATTAAATCTAGAGGACCCTTACCTACTGAGGGTTTATTGTGACAATCACTGAAGCCATGTAGAAGCACTCAGGTATTTCTGAACCACAATATTTTTATAAGGTATCCTCATTTGAAGCAGATCAAATCTTATAACCCAAGCTATCGAACCTTATTTCTAGTTTCAAAAGTTGTGACTTAGAAGAAATCAGGATTGTTTCTGAACAATTAAAATTAAAGGTTATGTGTGGTACTTACAATTTTGTGATAATTTTTTCCTGTGCCTTTGAGGAAAACCGGCTAAATTGCTGGTTGACTTATTTCAATTCATCTATTTTTATCTATGTCTGCCATAAACACAGCCATCCCTAAGGCAAGTCACTCCATGTGGCCGATACTCACTTCTCTGCCGTACCTTTCATTTATTTAGAAACAACATTATAAAGAAAAGTAAGGGTTGTTTTGAAAAGAAAATTCCAGTCTCCAAAGAATGAAAAGATCAAGGGATGCTTTGCCTCAGCCACGGTGAACGAATGGACTGACTCTAAGTGTGGGAGCTCAGAGCCATTTCTAGGATGTCGTCAGGCTGTCCCCGGGAGTCACTGCACAGCAGTACACCCGGGACGGTCAGCCAGGCTTGCCGTGCTCCCTGGTTCCGAAAGGACAAGTTGCCCTCTATAATAACCACCTGGCAGGAGGGCAGGAAGAAGGAGAGCTCACCAGGCAGTGCTTTACCCAGCAAGACCTCGCCAAGATTTGCATGTGGTCAGCAGCAGGGAGGACGGGCCCGTGACAGCCTGGCAGGGAAGTTCCCAGGAGGCTTCCAACAAAAGCGGTCGTGGAAGTTGTGGCAGTGCCTGTCCCGGGGTGTAGCCAGTTAAGGATCTCTTTGAGAGTTGATATTTTAACGTTGGAAACATACAGCAGAAAGTATAATCATGAAGGAGTAGATTTCCTCATCAACCTGCGATTATTTACAGAGGCTTCCCCCAGGTCCGCATCACCCCAGCTCTTCCCGAACTGTGGTCTACTTACATGTCCTAGGCATGCCCATTTTTTGTCCAGGAGAACCAGAGCACGTGAAAAGCAGCAAAGTCCTTGGCAGCATTTAAGTATTTTATTATTTTTTTCAATTATTTTTATTTCAGGTTTTCATTTAAATTCTAGTTAGTAAAAAAATAAATTCTAGTTAACATATGGTGTAATACTGGTTTCAGGAGTAGAATGTACTGATTCATCATTTATATATAACACCCAGTGCTCATCACAACAAGTGCCCTCCTTAATGCCCATCACCCAGTTACCCCATCCCCCACCCACCGCCCTCCATCATCCTCGGTTTGTTCTCAATCCTAAAGAGTCTCTTATGGTTTGCTGCCCTCTTTTTTTCCACCTTCCCCTATGTTCATCTGTGTTGTTTCTTAAATTCTACAAGTGAGATCATATGGTATTTATCTTTCTCTGACTTGTTTTGCTTAGCATAATGCTCTCTAGATCCATCTATGTCATTGCAAATGGCAAGATTTCATTCTTTTTGATGGCTGAGTAGTATTCCATTATATACATATACCACTTCTTCTTTATCCATTCATCAGTTGACAGACATTTGGGCTCTTTCCATAATTAATTTGGCTATTGTTGATAATGCTACTATAAACACCAGAGTGTGTGTGCCCCTTTGAATCTGTATTTTTGTATCCTTTGGATAAATACCTAGTAGTGCAATTGCTGGGTCATAATTGCTGGGTCGTAGGGTAGCTCTATTTTCAACTTTTTGAGGAACCTCCATACTGTTTTCCAGAGTGGCTGCACCAGCTTGCATTCCCACCAACAGTGTAGGAGGGTTCCCCTTTCTCCGCATCCTCACCAACATCTGTTGTTTCCTGTGTTGTTGATTTTATCCATTCTGACTGGTGTGAGGTGATATCTCATTGAGGTTTTGATTTGGATTTCCCTGATGCCGAGTGATGTTGAGCACTTTTCATGTGTCTGTTAGCCATGTGTCTCCTTTGGAAAAATGTCTGTTCATGTCTTCTACCTGTTTCTTAACTAGATTATTTCTTGGATGTTGAGTTTGATAAGTCTTTATAGGTTTTGGATGCTATCCATTTATCCAGTATATCATTTGCAAGTATCTTCTCCCATTCCATAGATTGTCTTTTAGTTTTGTTGTTTCCTTTGCTGTGCAGAAGCTTTTTATCTTGATGAAGTCCCAATGGTTGACTTTTGCTTTTGTTTCCCTTGCCTCTGGAAACGTGTCTAGTAAGAAGTTGCTGTGGCTGAGGACGAAGAGATTGCTGCCTGTGTTCTCCTCTAGGATTTAGAAGGTTTCCTGTCTCACGTTTAGGTCTTTCATCCATTTTGAATTTATTTTTGTGTATGGCATAAGCAAGTGGTCCAGTTTCATTCTTCTGCATGTTGCTGTCCAGTTTTCCCAACACCATTTGAGACTGTCTTTTCCATTGGATATTCCTTGCTGCTTTGTTGAAGATTAATTGACCATAGAGTTGTGGGTTCATTTCTGGGTTTTTGATTCTGTTCCACTGATCTATGTGTCTGTTTTTGTGCCAGTACCGTACTGTCTTGATGGTTATAGCTTTGTAATAGAGCTTGAAGTCCAGGATTGTAATGCCTCCAGCTTTACTTTTCTTTTTCAAGATTGCTTTGGCTATTTGGGGTCTTTTGTGGTTCCATACAAATTTTAGGATTGTTCTAGCTCTGTAAAAAATGCTGGTGGTATTTTGATAGGGATTGTATTAAATGTCTAGATTGCCTTGGGTAAGCATTTAAGTATTTTTTTTTTAAGATTTCATTTATTTGAGAGAAAGCACGAGCAGGGGGGAGGCGCAGAGGGTGAGGGAGAAGCAGGCTCCCCACTGAGCAGGGAGCCCGATCCCAGGACCCTAAGATCATGACCCGAGCCTAAGGCAGACACTTATCTGACTGAGCCACCCAGGCACCCCAGCATTTAAAAGTATTTTAATAGAAAAGTTGCATAAGGCTTGCAAAAAAAAAAAACTTTTCTCATCGTTTCATGAATTAAGCTACAACAGATTCTGGGAAGTTCAGAAGGAAGGCACTTTTTACCTAGGCTTCTGAAGGGATTTAAATTAGTAAAGGTCTTAAATAAATGATATTATAAGGTGAAATGTATTTAAGAAAATGTCTGCTATGGACAAATGCCCTCTTTCAATCAAGCCAGGTAGCCTTGGCCAGGCTTCTTTCATGGGCATTTGATGATCCCTTCCCAAGGAGCAGAGTACAGGGGGTGCAGACCAATCAGTGGGCCCTCCTGTTAGCACTTTGGGCCAGTGTTTGTCTGTTGCAAGTCTTTTCCACCATTTCTTTTGCCTGAATCACCATGGTAGTCTGATTGGGCTTCTAGATTGTTCTCACAGCAGTCAGCGTGACCCTCTCAAAATGTTTCAGTGGCTTTGCATCTCATTTAGAATAAAATCCAGAGTCCTTGTCATGGCCAACAAGTTTCCATCTGAGCTTGTCCCCTGACACCATCTGAGCTCATCCCCGGGCTCCCTCCCTTCATCATGGCTTCCTGTCTGCTGTTCCAACATGCAACCCCAGCCAGGCCTCTGAGGCTTGCTTCTATATACTGTTTTCTCTGCAGAAATCTCAGCCCCTGAGATTTCCAGATGCCTGCTCACAAGTCACCTTAGCAAAGACTCCTTTCTTGACTACTTGCTCTAAATTAGCACCACATGTTCTGTCATTCTCCACCTCTGTATCTGCCATTCTCTTCTCACAGTACTTAACACCTGGCATATTTCCTATCTACGTATTTATGGTCTGCTCACTATCATGTAAGCACCACTTTTCCCTTCCTATAGTCACTTACTTCACCTATTTTGTGTACTGGGGTTCTCCTCAGTCCTTGGAACCACGCCTGGCCTCTAGTAAGCACTCAAAAAAAGGATGGATGGATGGATGGATGGATGGAAGGATGGATGGATGGATGGATGGATGGATGGATGGGATGAACTGGATGGATGGGCATGGATGACCCCTGATATGCAATTGGTGAGGGGGCAAAGCATTTACATATAGGCCTGCAGATGGATCAGAGCAGAAGCTTAAGCTCCGGCGCATGAACTCCGGTGCATGAACTCTGGCGCATGAACAGAGACCTAGAATGGGTTACGGGTAGTTGAAGAGGACTTGGGTGCCCCAGCAGTGAGAGGTGCACAGCAGTTTGGGCAAACCAGGTAATGAAATGTTTGATGAGTATTTAACAATCCAGGGGAATGCACACACTTTTGAAATTTTCCTGCTTTCCAATCCAATCTAATCAGCCAGAGTGCTGTGACCAGCTCTCCATACAAAGGGAGGTCAGGATTCCTAAGAAAAATAAAACCACTGTTGGTGATCACTAGAATTTCCAAGTTTCCAAATAAACAGGATTCTGGGAAATGTCCTCACTTAATTCAGGGCAAAGAGCATTTAGGGTTTGTGACCCAACCTCAATATTTTTCTTTCTCTTTTTTTCAATATCTCTCATTATGTGTTTATCATGAAGAAAATCCACACACATTCTAGTGTAAGTGTGTGGTGTGATAAGCTCTGCAAAACAAGGGCTTTTCTCTGCCTTATCTTCACTGAAAACGTGTGTACAAAGGGTGATTATCCTGGAGTGCTGCCTCTCAGGATAGCATTTCAGCAGCACTCCTTCCCTGCTGGGCTGATGCTGCCACCACCCCAGTGAAAACTGTTTCACTTTTTCAAAATGGGTGAAGGTGGAGATTGCAGATGACTCTTTCCCCCAACGCCTTACCTCTGACTTCAGTTTCTACCATTCTTTTTCCTTACCCCAATCAACCACATTGGTCTTCTGCTGTTTCTCCAGTATCCCAGATTTATTTTTTCTTAAATTAGAAGTATTTGTTTCTTATTAAAATAGGGTCTTCTCCAGATGTTGGCGGGGATGCGGAGAAAGGGGAACCCTCCTACACTGTTGGTGGGAATGCAAGCTGGTGCAGCCACTCTGGAAAAC